TTCTTCCGTAACGGCGTGAATTTAGTTCCATTATTGCTGATAGCAAAGAACATGTTTTGTAAAATAGAAATCAAAAGAAAAAAACTGTTTGTAAATTGAAGTTTGAAACAAAATGCAATCCAGAATTGAAAAGTTGTTAAAGCTGTAAAAAAAGATTTTCGAGTGTAGTTTTGTTTTTCAAATGATTCATTTTTTATTTTTCATCTTTCATTTCATATTTCAAGTTGTATCTTTTCAGATTTTATTTAAATGTATTTACGAATGCTTTTTTTTCATTCTTTTTACCAATCTAGGTTTACAGATTGAATTATTTAAAAAAAAATCATTTTAATATAATAATCTTAAAAGTAATATTACAATTTTATTCTCGTAATTTTACGACTTTATGCTCGTAATGTTTAGACTTTATTCTCGTAATATTACAACTTTATTCTTGTAATTTTATGACTTTCTTCTCATAATTTTATGACTTTATTCTCGAAAAACAAAAAAAATCTCTAGCCTGGCCCTGATACTCGGTCGTAATATCGGTCTCCATGGATGTTAGAAATAAGATTTTTATTGGTCAAGAACAAGATATTTTATTGGGCTTGAAGTGAAGACTGTAAAACGCAATTTGAAAATAAGTCAAAAGAGATTTGAAAAGGAGAATTGACTATTAAATCTGTAAACTAATATTTGCGGATATTTCGTTTTTTACAAAAATAAACTTGGAAAAATAAATAAAAAGAAATTTGTATTTCGGGATAATGTAGTTCTGTATTGCATTGTTTTCAAACTGAAACGTATAACATGTGGTTTTTATTTCTTCTTACAAATGTGTTCTTTACTTGCAATAAGTTAAGAATCGGGGCCCTGATGTTGACTTTAACACCATATCCAACATGTTTAAGGCCTTCATTAAAGCAGTGATAATATGCCTGACAAGACTTGATGAGTCTAACAGTCTGCAAATATTTTATCTGAAGCTGCTCGTGCTTGTCTAATCTTCCCAGCATTGTCCATCATCTCTCTCCCACTGAGACAAGTTTCCACATATTTGAATAAGCAGAAGACGACCTTAGGGGAAATGGCAGCAAATAATGATTGATCAGGACGGGGTTTTTCTTTCTTTGTCATATGCAAATTTTTCTACCAAATAAATCTTTTTTTTTTTCCGCCGACAGCTTGTCTACCCTGAAGCAGAGACACATCCAGGTTTCTCTGCTTCCAACAGGAACTGATAGTAACTAACAGCTGCTGTAAAAATTGATTTCTTGATTATAAGATAATATAAAAAGTGTGTTATCTTATCTTAATGGGAGACTGGAGTCGGAGGCCATATGAGTGTTCCAGCTATCAGAGGTCCATCTGCAAGCAAAACTGCTGTCTATGTTGTTGGGCAGAAGCGTTTCAGTGATTTTTCAATCTTGGGTATTTTTTAATGATCAGATTGGCTTGTGATTGGGTTTTGGACAAGAATTTAACCACACAGAGGTTTGGATCTGTCTGGGTTAAGTTGAGGTTTTGAGGACCCCAATGCAAAAACAGAGGCAGAGGTGAATTTTGCAGATTTAATGAAGAAACTGAGGAAAAATTCAAAAAATACATAGAACCAAAAAAAAAAACCCAAAAACGTCAGGGAAAACCCACATAGGAAGCCAGAGACAAGGGAAGCAACAAAACAGCACTCAGCAATGGCGTAACGACACAACAATAGGCCCGTAAGCAACATTATCTGGGTGGGCCCCATATGAAGTACAACACCCCACCTCTGCTCATCATCATGTTGAACTCTGCCTTGTGTTGGAATATAAATAAGGTCCGGTCTATCAACTTAGTATCAGGTGGGTATAAGAGGAATTTTTCGCACCATTACATCTGCAAAGAGACATTATAGTTCACAATTACGTAGGGGACCAACCAGGTTTCAGTGACAGGGCCCCTAAGAGGTCAGAGGCCCCTAAGCAACTGCAGTCCCTGCTTACCGATAGTTACACCATTGGCACTGAGTGACTGCAGAGGTGGGGTATATATTGGGAGACTGAACCAAGACAAGCTAATCAGCAGATATGGAGCAGGTGTGAGTGGGCTAACAAGAAGGGACCAAGGAAGAATGAAACAAACACAAGAGGGCAACATAGAGCAACACAAGAACTAAAGCATTCAGCGCTGGTAAAACTACAAAGACACAAAAAAATAGAACCAAGCGGAGGGCAGAACCATGACAGGATCAGAACACTGTAGATCATCTTGTAAAGGTTTAGGTCCTCCTCCAGCTCAGCAGGAATGCAGTGTGTCTGAGACACTTTTTAACCTGTCAGGTCCCTCTGGCATCAAATCAACAACTGTCTCCAAAGTTCAAATTACTTAAGTTTTGCTGATAAAGATTATTAGTCATCCAGGTCATAGTCATTCCATAAAAGTAAAAAAAAAAAACAATCCACTGGACTTGGTTTCAAAGGTTTGAAGGCGTTTCGTTTCCCATCCAGGAAGCTTTCTCAATTTAAATGTCTGGATCGCAGTGAGTTTGAGGCTTTATATAGACCAGGCCTTGTATTGCTTGGAAACATGCAAATTGAAAAGCTTCCTGGAGGGGAGGCGAGACGTCTTCAAACCTCGACTCCTCCTCCTAAGTCTCTCTCTGATGTTCGTAGACTTGACTTCTTGAAAAGGAGCAAGTCTGGGTCTCATGTTTTGCAGATGACTTTGTGCCTTAAAGGAATAGTACACCCAAAACATGATTAGCCTTCATTTTCTACTCACCCCCATGCTGAACAACACTCTGGAGTACTTTTTTGATATCTCAAATGCATCTGGAGATCTGGGAGGCTTCTTGCTGTCTGCTGACATTCAAATAATGGAGGTCTATGGCGCCCGAGACAGAAAGGTCCATAAAAGTCCACAAAAAACGTGTCAATATTCCTCCATACTGCTCGTCCAATGTATTCCAAGTGTCCTGAGTGGGTAGCATCCAGAATTTACTCGAAACAAAGTCATTTAGAATGTTTTTAGAGCATAAACAGTAGTGTATAGGATTTCCTGAAAGCGCGCGCCTGCACGTTCCTGGCGCTACGGAAACCGCGGCAGACCAAACCGGATGAAAGTGCGCATTCACATATATATATGGACATATATGCTGTAAATTTTCATTTTTGTCGCAAGCAAAGAACATGTTTTTCAAAATGGAAATTTGAAAAAAAAATGCATTTAAGAAATTATTGTGTTTTTTTTCTCTGACCCACATACAGATCACACACAGGAGACAGAATGATTTAGATACAAATTGACAAAATATTAATATTTTCTGCGATGAGCTCCGGCGTCCGGGTGCTGGTTTGTAACAAATCCCACTCACTTTTAAGTGAACTATTTTCATTAATTTGAGACAAAACTATTCGAATACTTCTATTATATTAAACTAAACTTACAATATTCACCAATGTTTGGAACCATTTCCGTTTTTTCCTCTGAGCATGGAGCAGCCAGCTTGCTTGGAACCGCAATGAAGCATGGGATACGTAAGGCTATGTAGGATACAACTGACCCGTCCTTCAAAACAGGCAAAAAGAGGTCTGCATTTGTCTGCCGCATAACGAGGAGTCTTTCAATCTGAATAGCCCCCTGTTATACCCCCTGTTGAAGACCTCTAAAGGATTAGTTTGTGCCAGATTTTTACAGATTTTATGTTTAGTGTTTTTTCTTTAATTTTCTACTTTTTAAAGGGAAAGTAATTTCTCCCTGGGATTATTCAAGTATTTCTGTTCTGATGGGACAGGTGTTGTGAATGAAACGGTGCCCAGCTTGAAAGAGCTCCTGTGTGTCGCTGAATGTGTGCATTGATGACTGAAATACATCTTCTGCCTCCATTTATCTGTTTACTACAGTCTGTGGAATTCCTGTTAATGTGGATTTAATGACATTTCAATTAGTGGTTCTATTAGTTACCATCGCGGTGCTCCAAGGCAGCGGCTAAGACCAGCTCCTCTCGACAATTTCACAAAATATGCTAGTTTAAAACTGTACAAACTAGACATCAAACCCGCATCTATGATCGCCAACAAACTGCTGGAGCTACGGTCACAAAATGTTTTAAATACCTACATTAATGACCATTTAAAAAGCTGTGGAGTGCTACGGACAGCAGTACCGGACAGTGCTGTTGGCCTGTGGGGATCTGATGCTATACCATGCCATTTGAAACAAAGAGCTCTGTGTGAATGGAGGCTCCTCTGAGACTGTTCCCAGGCAATATTCAGCATCTAGAAGGGAAGCGCAGCACTGTGCAGGTTAAGGAGGAGAGCACTCTAGATGCTTCCCTGCCAAATGCTGAAACATCCCCAGCCGGCTTCGACACCTTCTCCAGCACGGTCTGTCGTTGCTAAACCTGCCGAATGCACCACTGCTGCTTCAGCCACGCCAGCCTCTTCAACTCAGGGGGCTACCACCCTCACAGCATCGTCATCATCGTCCTCTTCCTCCCCTGAGCCAGGAGAAGCGAGTGCTTCAGGAGCCAGAGGCAGTAGTAACAACAACAACTGCTGCTTACCTTATCAAGGCTGCACTTTAAACAATGGAAATTTCTAGAGAGATGTTCTAAACAAAATTTCTTTTTGTTTACACTTGTGTATGCAAAAAGAACAAAATACATCTGTCTAAGTCTAAGTCTAGTGGAAAATATTGCTGGAGGGGAATATTAAAAAAATGTTTAATCAACCAAAGCTTTCATGACCCCCATGTAGTACCTCCGTGGACCCCCAAGGGGTCACGGACCCCCTGTTGAAGACCTCTAAAGGATTAGTTTGTGCCAGTTTTGTACTTTTCTCCTGCTTGATCAAGCATCAGTTTTTGAGGAGTTGGGAATGAGAATATGTTGTAAAGGCAGAGTAGGCACGAACACTAACTTTTCTCTTCGAAGTTCACTTCAAGGAGGATGATGCTATAAAGTTCCTCTGTTTTTATGGTGTATGGTATTTTGAAAACTGCTCATTTTACATATATTATATTGTGTTTTTCCCCAGAAATTGGAGGACCTTAAGCTCTACACACCAAATCGTACCAGCTATGAGGTGAGCAGCCAACTTCTTTTTCATCACTGAGAGTAATCAGTTAGACCGGATTTCAGCAGATGAGGTGGTTACCAAGTAAATTTTCTGCATGCTACAACAAGAGTTCAATCCGAGGTGAAAATTCTGTTATCTTGTTAGGCAGATTTCCATAGAACAAGCAGCTCAGCTATTTTAGTGCAAAATAAACATTACAGTACAGCTTTTCATTTCTTCATCACTGCCTGGGTGATTTTCCAGCCTTGTCAGTTCACTATTAATGGGGTTATATAGGAGTAAGCAGCTCAAAATTTCCTACAGTACTATCTAGGGAAATTACGAGGCCAAGTTTTACTGGGATTTGTTGGCTGTGGTAAACAGAAAAAGTGCAGTAGACACAAGAAGGAATTCATCAAGTCTGTCTGAGCTTTTGCTGCAGGAATACATGTAGGATGGTATAGAAAACTATGATGAGAAGGAAAACTTAGTTATCCACCAGCCATGACGGCTGCTATAATGAAAGCTAAATCTAAAGCAGCTGAGCATGATGATCATGTACACAACTTAAACTTGGGGGGCACTGTCATTCAGCTCCTACAGCAGTAACATTATCTGTTCTGCCTATTTTCACTTTTGAAAAATTTATTATCTTCGTCCCTCTTTCCCCGCACTCTGCCTCTATTCTTGTCATAGCCTCATCACCTCCTACAGTGTTTACTGTAACTCTCTTCATTTTGGTCTTCCTCAGAAGTCCCCCCCATAAGTTGTTTTGCCATTGATAGATATCCTCCTTGGTGTTTGATGTTTACTTGCATACCTTGGATGATGAACATATGCCATCATGGTGAGTCTAACTGGTTTGATTGAACCCCTTTTTATTCTGTCTCCTTGGTGATCATTCTTGGCAGCCATAGTGCATAATGCTGACAGTAAAGTCTATTTCAGATTATATCCAGGGGAGGAAATTCCATGCTTATATGGACTCCCAAAAATTCACAAGGAAGGAGCACCACTCAGGCCCATTGTCAGCAGCATTAACTCAGTAACATACAACATTGCTAAACAGCTTTCTAATATCTTAGCCCCCTTGGTGGGAAACACACCACATCACATAGAAAACTCCAAAGACTTTGCCAACAAAGTCAAACATTTAAGGATGGCACCAGGAGAAACCCTGGTATCTTTTGATGTTACTTCACTTTTCACATGCATACCTATAACGGAGGCAGTGGAAACAGTCAGGACACGTCTTGAACAAGATAGTGACTTAAACAACAGGACTAAATTCACTCCGGACCAGATCTGCACACTACTGGGCCTTTGTCTTTCCACAACCTATTTCAAATTGAGAGGTAATTTTTACAGACAGAAGCATGGTTTTGCAATGGGATCTCCAGTGTTACCAATTGTAGCCAATCTTTACATGGAAGAAATGGCAAAGAGAGCTTTGGACACTTTCAATGGAACACCACCAAGCCACTGGTTTAGATACGTGGATGATACATTCGTCAAAATCCAGCTAAAGGAAGTGGAAGCTTTCACAAGACACATCAACTCTGCTGACCATAACATCAAATTCACCAAAGAGGATGCCAAGGACAACAAACTACCCTTTCTGGACTGTCTGGTGAGCATGAAAGGAGATGGAAGCCTAAACATTATAAAAAAAAACATTGGAAACCTACTCACACAGACCAGAATCTTCTTTTTGACTCACAACACCCACTAGAACACAAACTTTCAGTCATCAGACCGGGGAGAACATGTCCCTACTAAAACAGAAGGGAAGCACAAAGAACAGAAACACATCAAAGATGCTCTCCAAAACTGTGAATATCCAAACTGGGCATTTATCAAATCAGCAAGGAAATCCAAAAGACACTTAACAGAAGATAGTGACGAGAAAATTCAACGCAAAAACATCACAATCCCTTAAACAGAGGCTAGTGCATCCTAAAGATAAAACCCCCAGACCAAATATGAGCGGAGTGGTGAATGCTGTTCAGTGCAACGAGGAATGCTCTGATCTTTGTATTGGAGAAACCAAACAACCTCTCCACAGACGCATGGCCCAACACAGAAGAGCGGCCTCCTCGGGACAATACTCCGCAGTACACCTACACCTTGTGGACAAAGGACATTCTTTTGAGGACCAGAATGTTCACATTCTGGATAAAGATATAGGTGGTTTGAGAGGGGCGTGAAGGAAGCCATCTATGTTAAGAGAGAAAAAACAACTTTAAACAGAGGTGGTGGACTCAGATTTCAGCTTCCAAAAACGTACAATTCAGTTATAGAGCCGATCCCTTCCAGATATCACCACCCCCCCCACCCCGTCACAGAGGAACAAAGCACCTACCCTCTTCACCCGGTGAACAATACCTCCTTAACGACCGACCCTTAACAATCATAGACAGGTTTCAGGTATTACAGGAGACAATCCCCCCCTTTTAACGAACCCCCCCCCTTTAATGACCGACCTTCAGAATAGGTTTCAGATATTACAGGCTAACAATGGAACCGAATAACCCATTCATCGGTTACCATTTGCATGTTTCCAGGAAATAAAAGGCTTTGTCTATATAAGACTTGAACTCACTGCGGATCCAGACATTTGAATTGAGACAGCTTCCTGGAGAGGTGGCGAAACGTCTTCAAATCTTGGAAACCAAGTCCAGTGGATATTTTTTTTACTTTTACGGAATAGTGCAAAATGTATTAGTTTTGCACCTCCACCCAGGACACAATCTTTGTCTTTTTTTTATTAACCACACCTATGGAGCATCTTTTCATACAATACAGGGCATTATTGTTAAAAGTATATACCTCTGAAGAACAAACATAAATACAATCAACATAATGTTGTATTTTTGAGTCTGTTACTCATAGTTAGTGAATATCCATCTTCTTCCACTTATTCTGTTAGGAAGGCGTGGGGCCAGAGCCGTTCTCCAGCAGTCTATTGGCATAAGATGGTGTACACCCTGGACAGGTTGGCAGTCTGTCACAGGGCAACACAGAGACATACAACCTTACACACACTCACCCCTAAGGACAATTTAGAGAAGCATGCAAACTCCATGCAGAAAAACCTCGGGCTGGGAGTTGAATCCAGAACCTTCTTGTTGCAAGGCAACTGCACTACAAACTGCACTTCCCTGCAGCCTTAGTGAACAAAAAGTCTGTAGTAAAGTCTGTAGTAGAGCCTGTAACTCAACAGCTCTGGAAGGATTTCACTTAGATATGATACGACTTCCTGTGGAGTTTGGACCATGGCTCCAAGGGACTTTTTTGTGTGTTTCGGTGGGTTATACATGTTTGCCAAATTTTAATAATCTTCAGTAAAAGCATTGCTTGGGGCTGCTTTACCCTTATCTTTTGATAAGTCCGAATTTGTAGACACACCCACATCCTGTGTCACAGCAAAATCTTTGAATACATTTGGATGAATAATGCCATAACTCTTTCTCAGTCAGTTAGTAGTAGTAGTAGAGTTCGCTGATAACGCATGAGATTTTAAAAGTTTTTCTTTGAACTTTATTGGTTCATTATCGGGTCATCAGATCATCTCTCGGCCATGCTTATCCCTGCATATAAGCCCTGGCTGATCAGGGCTAAACCGACAGTTAAAGAGATCCAAGTGTGGTCTGAGGGTGCCATGGAGACATTCCAAGACTGTTTTGAATGCTCTGACTGAAACATCTTCAAGGCTGCAGCAACATCTGACAACTTATTGAATATTGATGAGTATGCCATGACTGTGTCAGCCTACATCAACAAATGCATTGAAGATGTCAGCATAAAAAGGAACATAACCACCCGGGCCAACCAACCACCCTGGATAAATGGAGAGGTTCGGAAATCTCTAAAAGCATGGAACTCAGCTTTCAAGCCTGGTGATACACTAAGAACAGCGCATGCCAACTTAAACTGTGCCATCAGATCAGCAAAGCAGAACCACAGCCAGAAAATCCAGGATCTTTTTCACGATGACAGCAACACCAGGAGGATGTGGAAAGACATTCAGATGATCACGGACTACAACACATCCTCCCCCCTGGTAGATGCAGCAAACACTGACTTTCTAAATGAACTGAACAACTTCTTTGGAAGGTTTGAGGCACTAAACAGCCTCTAGCAGTGAAAGCTGTTCCACACCAGGGAGGGGAGGAACTAAACCTTGACGTAGCTTAAGTGAGGAAAACTCTGAGGAGAGTCAATCAGAGGAAGGCCCCCAGGGCGGGTGTATAAGGAGTGTGCAGATCAGCTGGCTGGTGTCCTCATAGACATCTTTAACACCTCGCTGGACTGACCCATAGTGCCAGCATGCTTCAAGTCTGCGACCATTATTCCGGTCCCAAAGAAGCCTCAGGTCACCTCACTCAATGAATTCCGACTGACTCCATTGACTCCGACAGAACCGCTCCACTGAGGGCGCCATCTCTGCTGCTCTCCACCTGAGCCTGGCACACCTGTAGGAGAAGAACACCCATGTCCGGATGCTGTTCCTGGACTTCAGTTCAGCTTTCAACATCATCATCCCACAGCATATGATGGGCAAACTGAAACAGCTGAGATTCAATACAACCCCTAAAAAATTGGCTGCTAGACTTCCACACAAACAGACCTCAGTCAGTCCGGGTTGGACAGAACACCTCTGATGTCATCATCCTGAGCACAGGCTCCCCTCAGGGCTGCGTCCTGAGCTCCCTGCTGTTCACCCTGATGCTTGACTGTGTCCCCAGGTTCACCACCAATCACATTGGGAAGTTTGCAGACGACTCCATGGTGATGGGCCTCATCAGAGACGACAACGACCAGAATTACAGAGAGGAGGTGGAGCAGCTGGTAGACTGGTGCAAAGATAACAGCCTGACCCTGAACGTGGAGAAGATGAAGGAGATGATCTTGGACTTCAGGAAGAACCGTCCTAACCACGCTCCACTGCTCATCAACAGCTCCGCTGTAGAGGTGGTCAACAGCACCAAATTCCTGGGGATGCACATTACAGACACCCTCACCTGGAATGTAAACACCACCTCACTGATCAAAAGGGCACAGAAGCGCATGTTCTTCCTGCAGAGGATGAGGAGAGCCCACCTGCCCCACCCATCCTGACCACCTTCTACAGAAGCAGCATAGAGAGCGTTCTGACCAGCTGTCTCACTGTGTGGTGTGGAGGCTGCAGCGCCTCAGACTGGCAGAAAATGAGGAGAGGAGTAAGAACAGCAGAGAAGAACATTGGGGCTCGTCTTCCCTCCATTAAAGTCATTTCATCCCAGCGCTGCGTGTCGATAACATCATCAATGACCCCTCACACCCCCACCATGGACTGTTCTCCCTGCTGCCCTCTGGGAAGAGGCTTCGAAGCATCCGATGCAGGACCTGCAGATTCCATAACAATTTCTTCCCCACTTCCATTAGACTACTGAATGTTGTGTAAAATGGGTTATGTTATAAAATGTTATAACTGTAAATATAAAGTCATATGTTTATATTTCTATTTTTTATGTATTTATTACTGTTTTCAAGGCTGCACTTTAAAACGAAATTTCTTTATGTTTACACTTGTGTATACAAAATGACAAAATAAATCTGTCTGAGTCTGAAACAGATAGTGATAGATTTGATTTAAAAATGGCTGATTCCTGTGGAGTGTGTGCAATGGCTCCAATAGATGTTTTTGTAGGTCTTGGTCATTTATCTGTGAGGATTCTCAGTCATCCAGGTCATGGTCAAGCTTGAAAAAGTTCAGCCTAGGGTCTGGATGTGAAGATTTTTAGGAGACGTTTCATCTCTCATCCAAGAGGCTTCTTCAGGTCTAACTGATAGTGGGAAGCACTGAAATTAATATACTGTAGGTCTAATAGTCTTAGTAGTTTGTACATCCTTAACAGATTTAATAATTCAGAGTCAAAGCATTGTATGGGGCTGATTGTTTTATTATGGAAGTTTATATCTGGGTGATTGACCACACCCACATTCTGTGATGTAGAAAACTCTTTTGATAACTTTTGATACCCAATGCATTTGAAGCCTCTAAGTTTAAAGCTGTAAGAGTAGTTCACTCAGATACAACATGAGCAAATCAGGGTAAGTGGTGCCTTTGATCCAAAATGGTTGAATCCCTGTGGGGTTTGGCCTATAGCTCCATCACACTTTCTTGTAGAACCTGGAGGCATACAGGTGGGTGCCAAGTTTCATAATCCTATAATTACGGCTTGGGCCTGGTTGTTTTGGTGTTTCTAAAGAAACACTAAAACAACTATAGTAGAGGGTTTTAGAGCAAATAAGTCACGCTCACCAAATATTGGGTTGGATTTCTGTGTGGGGTAGGACTAGTATCCGTCATATTGTTTAAGGTCTATTTAGAAATGAGAACCAAACGTATGGTCTTGGTGAAACGCCTCACTTCGTCATGCTGCCTAAGCAATGCCAGTTTACTTGTCCCTTACGTATAGTTAAACCAACATGTTTTGACCTACTGACATAGTTACAAGATGATGGGGTTAAAAATTACAGAAAGGGATCTTGCCAAGTGAAAGAAGTGACTTTCTTCCCTCAGGGGGCGGGGTTTGATGATGTCATCATTTGACCAGCCAGTATCGTCAGGCGCCCAAATGGATTAATACTACCAAACTTGGTTCAATTCAGATTTTTTTTGTAAAAGTTATTGCATTTTACATTGGTTGAAAAATAAGCTATGAGAAGCTATGGGAGGAAGTGGTGGCCTAGTGGTTAGGGCATAGAGCTTGGAATCCTGAGGTTGTGAGGTCGAGCCCCAACTCCACAGATTGCCACTGTGGCTCTCTGAGCAAAGACCCTTAACCCCAGATTTGCATCCTGGGCGCCCCACGATGGCCGCCCACTGCTCCCCAAGGGGATGAGTAAAATACTGAGGTAAATTTCTCCAATTTGAGATCAATAAAGTTCAATTAAAGCTAATTTCTGGACATGTCGCTTCATAATACTCAAACTAAAATTTTTCATAACTTTAAAACATGCTTTACTTGCATACTGACCAAGTTTAAATCTGGTAGCTTAAAATCCCTAGGTGGAAATTATTAAAGTTCAACAAGAACAAAAATGAAAAATTGACCTTTGACCTAATATGGCCGATTTCCTGTGTGTTTCAGAGCCTGTTCTTCATGATTTGGAGAGATCAAGCTATGTATGAGATTTCAAATCTCTGAGACTGACAGTTTTCACCATCTCACTTTAGGGGCCCCTGTTGATGTGTTTGGCCACGCCCATTTCTGAGTCAGTTAGAATACTTACATTTCCCTCAGGGGGACAAGATGTTAGATGATCTTAAAAGCAAACAGGAGGATTTCCAACTGGATTCCTAAGGTGACAGAAAACTGTTAAAGCTTATGTAGGACTGGTGTGATGTAATGAAATGAGAGGCTTTTAGTAATTAATTGAGCTGCTGAATTCTGGACCATTTGAAGCTTATATATATATATATATATATATATATATATATATATATATATATATATATATATATATATATATATATATATATATATATATATATATATATATATATATATATGGATATATAGATATAGATATAGATATATATCTATATATATATCTATATCCATATATAGATATATATATAGAGAGAGAGTGACGTCTGGGAAAGGCCAAACAGAAGAGAGTGGACCAAACAGGCTGAACTGAGGGTAGAATGAGTTGATCCCATCTGCGGACATCACCCACTGAAACTTTGTCTCCATTTGCAGCGATAATTGAGATTAAACCTCAGAGATTTGAAGTATCATCTGCAAATATCCTATATCAGAAGTTGACAGGTGTTTTTCTGTGAAAGCAGACTGTAGGGGAAAATTTTTTTGCTGCCAGCCGTTTGATTGCTCTGGTTTCTGTCTTATGTCATTTTTTGTCTTGTCCCTGCAGCAATGTCCTCGTGCTACCTTTACATGCTTCAGAGATGAGCTGAGCGTCATATCGAATGAGTTGGTGATCTATGGCCTGGACAATAATCGAACAAAGAGTATCCTAAAAAGGATGTCGTTCCTGCTCCTACAGCACAATAAGGTGAGCAGCAGATGTCCTGCTGGACAGAGTCCATCAATTCAACAGGTGGGAAAATATCCAGGGTCTCCAGGGAATCTACAGATTCTTCCCTTAATAATCACTTAGTCATTGTGATCTTACATCTTCTTAGCTGCGAGCTGAACTTTGGTTGAAAGTAATCTGCTGCTACTAATTCTAGATTAGCCAGTTTTAGCAGGTTAAAGATTAAAATAGTGCAGTATATTTAGGTGACTCACTGTTTCAGCACACCTGATTCAAATGATTACATAGATTTCTCCGCAGCCATTAAGTGCAGCAGATAGATGATTTAATTAACTCAGCGAGTGCAGAATATTTGCGCGAAGTATAACTATTATACTATTAAACTTAAATTGTGTATTTAGTATTATAAATAACGTACCATAGTTATAGCATACTTTTTTATTATGCTACATATTACTAAATAAAGTATGGGGTGCTCTTTGTAAAGTCAAGCAATCGAAAAAATCAGGAGCATGGTTATTATGATATTTAGAGTGTTTTAAGAGAAAAATAAAGGGGTTATTTTTTTCCCAAGTCATTTTTTTCACTATGTGTTTCATTCATTTATAAAAATCTTGCTTTGTTAAATAAATGCTTAAGTTTGTAGCTAACTATTTAGTTTGCAAAATAAATATTTAGTGTGTTAAATAAATATTTAGCTACAAACTAAATATTTTGTTTTTTAAATAAATATTTAACTAGAAGCTAAATATTTATTTTGCAAATGAAATATTTAGTTCTTAAATAAATATTTAGCTCCAAAACTAAATATTTAGTTTTTAAATAAACATTTAGCTCCTCTTTAAATCTTTATTTAACAAACTAAATATTTATCTAGCTTGGTGCCAGCTAAATATTTAGTGAAAATGCAAATTCACTTGCCAGAAAGCGGTAATTATCTACCAAAGTAAGACTCTGGGAATCTCTATACCACTCCTATGGCATCTTCGTCACACTGACAGAAAATCACAAGTTAGTATATGACAAAACATAATTAATTCTAAAATAGAAGGTCCTCTTTGAAATAGATTTATTTGGCCATATACATTTGTTTTCAGAATTAGGCAAATGTTTAATGTTATGTTAAGCCGAGCCACAGAGCTACAGCCATAAACATGGGGCATCCCTGTGTTACCATGGCAACAACAGTTTTTCTTTCAGCTTGGATGAAGGCAAGAAGCCCTCCAATTCGCATTCATTAGCTAGCACCAAGCTAGCTTAATATTTAGCTAAATATATAATTAGCTTGGTGCAAAGTACATATTTAGTTTCTTAAATAAATATTTAATTTGGAGCTAAATATTTATTTAAAAAAATTAATATTTAACAAACTAAATATTTTATTTGCATATTCAATGTTTAGTTTTGTCATGATTGGTTTAATCGATCTGACCCACATGCACAGAACCACTCAGAGACAGAGGAAAACAGTTTAACAGGTTTATTAAATGTAGATGAATAGCAGAAGTTGGATCTGGAACTCAGTGGACTGGAGAACCGGAACTGGAAAGTCTGAAGGCGAGATCACAGTGATCAGTTCAGGGGCCGTTGGAAATTTGACTGAGGCTGGAATATTACTGGAGGGGGACTCACGCTTGAGGGGGCTCTTGTTAATCCTTGAATCCAGCTTGTGGGGGTTAATCCGGAGAAGGGGAACTCGTTGGAGGGCGGACAGATAGACAAGCGTTAGACCCAGATGAGTAAAGGAGCGGACTGTCACTTGGATTTCCGAAGAGGACTTGAACACATCATGTGGAGGTTTTCCCCTGCTCAGTGAGTTTCTCAGTTAATCCTTCCAGGGGGAGAAGGTCCAGGTATCCAGTACTCAGGAAGGCTTCCTGCCGAAGAGCTAAGACAAAAAACTAGATAAGTCTCAGAGGAACAAAGCTTAGGTTAGACTCTGCTAATCTCAGCTTGACTAGAGTACCCAATACTGGCAACCACTCTGGTGTCGAGGTAGTGACAGCCCACTGCTCAAATACTCCCCCAGTAATGAACCAACAAGCCGCAGGTGTGCAGGGAGGCCCAACGAGGACAGGGCACCACCTGGTGGTGAAGAGAGAAAAACACACAAACAACCCACACAAACTGGATTCCTAACAAGTTTGGAGATATTTATTTATTTAACAAACAAAACATTTAATTTGCAAACTAAATATTTAGCTCCAAACTAAATATTTATTTAACAAAATTAGATTGTCATAAATGAATGAATGACAGTGAAAAAAATGACATGAAAAAAAATAAACCCCTCATTTTTCTTTTAAAACACCATAAATATTGCTCGCAATTTTTGACGGCTTAACTTTACAAACGGCGCCCCATAATAAAGGCAGATTTTCCTTATAAAGATGGCAGCTGTTTAGAACAAAGTGTGCCGCCATGCTCCTGAAGTGAAGTCTTAAACTTTTAATTGATGATCTTGAATTATCTCAACACATCTGCCTCTTAGTTTAAGGGATTTTCTCACCCCAAATGCGAAAGGCTTAAAAGACCACTAAGGTTTAACATTTAATTTAAAATTTGGATGCTGAAAGATAATCTGGACATTACCGTGGATTTGGGAAAGAACCACTAGAATGATGAGAGTAGTGGCGAGTAGTAAATGTGATTTCCAAGCAGAGGGTGGTGAGGCTGATTGCTTACAGTCAGAGATGTTATGAGTCCACGGGGGGAGAGCCGGATCTAGAGGGGCTATTAGGGTTGGCAAGTGCTTCATGGTTTGGTGGAGGAGGATCGGATGCTGCTGGTCATGGTGTAATTAGCCAGTCATTATGCAGGACACTTGTCTTCTCTTCTGGAGGAAACCAAAAAAACACACAAGCTTATCATTTAATGAGAAGAGAAGTGCCATAATAACTATCAGCGGGAGCCAGAAATAATAACAAGAGAATTAAAGAACACCGCGGCGGGGGGGGGGGGGGTGGGGGGTGGGGGGGGGTGGGGGGGGGGGTAGAGATGGCATTAAGGTTGGAACTTGGGAGAGGATGGACTGTGAACAATTTCTCCTAATCTCCTCATGATGAGCCTCATTAGTATCAGATGTGGACTGCAGGTCCGCTCACCCTCGCCCACCAAACAAATCCTAGATTAGAGAAGAAAACAGAAAACACAAGCCAGATACTTCAGGGCCCTGTCACACCTTACCGATTTAGCCAACATATGCCTGACATCCCAGAATCTCCTAAAAAATTGCATACGCTTAAATTTCTATGAATTTTTAAAATTTGGGGCGTATACATACATATTCATAACGAGTCCAGAACTTATATCCAACAACAGCCTAACTTATGCAATATGCATGGCAGCGTAATACCCATGAAATGTCACAAGCCAGTGTCCTGAGGGGGGCAGCAATGCGCCCAGAGGCTGTCTACCACTTGCAAAAAAAAAAAAAAATCAATAAAAATCAAAAGAACAAAGGAGGTTTGCAGTCACAGCAGATTCAGCGTCATATCTGTTCCAAAGTTTGTTGGCCGTGGGAGTGAACGCCGGGAGGATCCATCTCACCCACCTTCACGCTCACCCTATGATGGGGATGCAGTCTGAAGGAGAATTTTTTATTTTTTTTTTAAACCTTTATTTAACCAGTAAAAAAATCCCATTGAGATTAAAAACCTCTTTTTCAAGGGAGTCCTGGACAAGATGCAGTAAAGTTACACTAGAATCATAGATACATTAAAACAAATGACAAGTACATAAAAAAAATAAATAAATAAAAATCGTATCAAGCAAAACAATTGCAGATCATTGAGGCTGCTTCAAATTCTTTCACTTTTAACTTAAAAGCATTTAAAGATAAAAACTCAGTCAAATCCTGTTTCCTTGTAAAAAAAAAAAAACTCAGTGAACAGTGAGCAACAGCTGATCGTTGCATCTCAGGGCATAAGAGGCCATGCTTTTCTGTAAGGGCAGTAATCCAAGAAGGGCCTGTAAATAAAAGTGTACCAATGACACTGTCTTCTATTAGAGAGGGAAGGCCATCCCACTGAGAGTACAGGTCACAGTGATGCGTCATGTCATGGCTCTACAGTTTGTGATGAACCTTAATGAACATTTGGAGACATGAAGAAGTAGCATTCTTATAAAAAAAGGTCACTATAATCTAAGACGGATAAAAACTTGGCAGAGACATGAAGCTTTTTTAATCCAAAAGTAAAAAAGCGTCAAATTGTTATGCTGCACATATTCACACAAAAGTCTATTCCAGGTAGGCAATAAAAAGTTCTACTTTACTACTAATACTACTTGTATTAGTCTTTTTCCTGCTTCACAAAGGTAGGCAGCAGCTTGACAAAGCCATGATAGCAATTATTTTACATCCAAGTAGTATGCAGTTCTTCATATATACACACACATCAATTTTAAACAAGGTTCAATTCAATTCAATTCAGTTTATTTATATAGCGCCAAATTCACAACACATGTCATCTCAAGGCACTTTACAGTTCAACCAGATCATACAGTCAAATTGATACAAAGTTTTCTATCTAAGGAAAACCAGTTGATTGCATCGACTCAAATACAATCCCTCACACTAAGCATGCTTGTAGCGACAGTGGAGAGGAAAAACTCCCTTTTAACAGGAAGAAACCTCCAGCAGAACCAGGCTCAGTGTGAGCGGCCATCTGCCGAGGCCGACTGGGGTTCAAGGAGACAGAAGCAGAGATACAGAAAGCAGCTGTAAAAGGCGGCCCCGTCCAGGAAACACACAGCCAGGCAGACAAGCTCCAAGGCAGCTCCCATGCCAGAGGACGAAGAGAGCACATCCAGCCAGTCACGGTCAGAGAAACAGGACCACACTGGAAAACAGGCCGATCTCCAACATCTATAAACAAAGGTGTTGATGGAAGCAGCACAGCTGATGTTTCTTTCCAGGATGACGTCACAGCCAAACAGGAACAGACTAGGCAAAGCTACTCTGAGGAAAAGCAGAGAGAACAGAAGGTTAGAGATTGAACTAACAGATTCTGCAGTTA